CGAAACTTGCGTGCATCAACCTTGCTTGAGCTTACAGGCATCTTCGGGCGCGTCTGCCAGGCTCCTAACCCCAAAAGCCTGAACCCTAATCCTGGGCTCATCAAGTGCCGAAGGCTGGCAAACAGGATGGGAACTTTTGAGTTTAGGGTTTATTTTAACCCCAAATATCCTACCTGCTTAGCGTTCCGTACTATGATTTTCTTATATAAGTCCGTAAAACGGCCTGATATTCAGTGTTAAAGTAAGGATTCGTGTCGAGCGTTCTCGGTGAAGGTAAGGAGCATTGCGGCGAGCGCCACTCCGAGGTGGCCGCCGTAGATGGTGAGGCCGTGCACAGCATCTTGGTTGGGGTTTAGGGTTAGGGGTTAGTGTTCAGGGGTTATAGGTTTACAGTAGCGCGCAGAATAGAACCACATCATGGAAACATGTTGTGTGCAGTGTGAGTGTAAAGCATTATGAAAGATCACTGACCATACAGGTCATGCACAATACATGCAAAACAGTAGAAACACTGTCAAACCAGATTCAGAACAAGCAGGAAGCTTCGGAATGCGCTGGCTTTCAGGAATCCGGCACCAGCATCAGGCCTCATGACTATGCTGCCCGCCAGGCAGCATGTTCCAGCGGTGCGCCTCCCAGCCAAGGCATCAGCCTAGCCGGTTGGGACAGGGACAAAAGTCTAAAGTCCTGGTTTTTGCTCAATGCATGCTTTCCATTGCTGCATGCACCCGTCACGGCGGTAGTCTCACGCTTTCGTACCGGATTCTACCCTATACCCTCGATATGAAGCTAGAAATGCTCAAAACCTACCATGCAAGGCTCCCAGCTTCCATGGTTTAGGGGAAAACCGATTCCAGAATCTGACCCTGAACCCCAAACCCTAAAACTTAAGCCACGGAGCCTTTTAGAGCACAGCCTAACAGAACCCAGGGAACTCCATTCACCCAACACTGAGTTTAGGGCTTACAGTGAACCGCAGAAGCTTGGAACATGGATTTAGGATGATGAGTGCTAGGATTCCCCATACTTTACCTCAAGGGCATGAGGACAGTGATGTTCCAACTTTCTGGCTTCTACTGTAAGGCCTAGGGTTTGAGAGCAACTTCTTATTGAAATAGCTGGAACCCGAAAAGCTGCCAGGGCGCTTGTCATAAAGTGCAAGCCCATCACTGCATGGCTGCACGGCCGTCACGACCTGTTCACAACGAATCCGCTTCCGGTGTGGGGTTTGTACAAGGTTCTTAGGAAGCTTAATGCTTGATGTTTAAAGTAGACAGTTTAGGGCCGGTTTACTAAAAGAAAGTGCGTTTAAAGATTCCGTCGCCGGGAGTTAAGGGACTTAGCATGTGGCATGCGGCTCGAGAGCAAAGGTTGTGGAGCTTGGGGTAAAACTTGCACATCCGGCTGCACGCACCAAGTCTGCAACACAATTCGAACCTCCCGAACGTGAGCACTGATCTTCCGAGGGCCGGAGAGGCATCCCGAGGGTTGATCCGCACATGCAGAGAAAACCTCAAAGCATCCAATGACAAAATAGGGCAAGACCCTAAACTTCAACGAGAACCCGAAATGCGACTCCTAGCCTTAAACTGTACTGTGCTTCCGCTAAACATCCCCAAACGACCCCAGAGCCCCAAACCCTAAACCGTAGCCTACACTGTGCTTCCGCTAGAACCCTAAACCCTAAACCCTATACCCTAAACCCTAGACCCCAAACGACCCCAAAGTGCTAAGTGCGGCTCAAGGCACCAGCATCATCCAGAAGCCCTCGTCTTCGGCTCGAGAAGCAGGGATGTCCTCGAGCTCCAGCGCCTGCTGTGCTCAAAGAGCCCTATACAGGGGCCTGTCAAGGGTTCTTTGCGCTCTCACAACTCGGACACAGCCAGGCGAGGTTCTTAGGTGCGGAGTCGGTGTGAAAAGAGTTTCGAGACGATTCTCGGCACAAGTGAGCCAGGGTTCTTTAGGATTCTATGAAGGGGCCTTTGAAGGGATTTTCTGGATTTTTGACGGAAAAAAACAGCCACATCCCTCAATCCTAGGCTAGACCCCCACCAAGCTCGGTTCGGGGTTCTGCAGTTCTGGGTTTCAATGGCTTGGGGTCCAAGAAAGCCGTTCTAGGAATGTTGAGCAACCCGTGCGGGCAGGTCCGGCCGTGCGGTAGCGGATCTTCGGTGGTCGGCCAGCATCTGTAGCCTGACAGGCCGTCTTCGACCGTCCGGAGCTGGATCGGGTTCAAGGATAATTATTCGCTCGCAGGTATGATTCATGTCTTTTTTTGGGTTCGAGGATTCGAGGGAGTAAGGTTCACGCTAAACTGAAACTTTGAACCCCTACCGCAAAACCCTAAAAGGAGCTATGGTTCAGGTCGTATAGCTCTGCTCATCTGTGGAATCGATGACCCATGTAGATAATCTTGGGAGTTTGTCGTGCAATGAAAGCCAGGCACGACAAGACAAACCATCAACGCCACGACCACCCAGAAGCTCAAAACCCGAAGGTGCAGCAACGCAGCGTGGTGGGTCAGGCCAATGGGAGAAGAGTTCACGAAAACGAAGCGGTAGTTCCCGCCTGAGTGCAAGCTAGGCTGTTTAGGATTCTAGCTTTAAAGGGCCTGCGAGGGATTGAGTCTCCTTGGGCAGTTCGGGGAGATGCTCCGGGATCAAACAATGAGGAACCACAATGATCAGCAGTCAAGGTCCATGATGACCCTTCGCAGTCCTGTTGTGTTTGGTTGAGCTCCTTTGTTGCGGATCCGGAGGTCGAAGACTTGAGTCGCAAGGACATGGGAAGGAAGACTGTTAAAGATGCGGCGTGCACAGTTTTGCTGGGGTTGATCGAACACCTTCTGCTTGCCACAGACTCTTGGAAGCAGTATAGACATAGACCATGCATTCGATCACCACAACGACGAGGAGGAGGACGACAACTTCCATTGCTGTGACGACGATTGCTACGGCTACTGCAGCTGGCACTGCCACGACCTCGGCTACTACGACTTCGACTACGACCAAAACCAAGACGAAAAAAATAGCCTACGACAGCTGCCGCTACTACGACTGCCACCAGTACTGCACCCTTGTACTGTAATAGGAGTCTTAGTAGTTAGCGGCAGGCTTCGGGGTAGGTTGCAGTAAATTTCAAGAGTAACAGTCAATCCAGAAAGGAATAAAACGGAATATTTATGCCCTCACACTCAAGCCTTTGAGGATCCCTTGAAGGAATCCTTGAGGGAATTCCTAATTACGCATCAGACTGGAGCAAACACTCTCAATCCCAAACTCGAAACCCAGAACCCAAAGCCCCGAACCCCTAAACCTTCAACACCTCTCTCTCTCCCAGGCATTCGAAACGTCAAGCCCGGTTCTAACACCCTAAACCCACCTAAACCCTAACACCCTAAACCCAAAGTCCTAAGCCCCGACCATGGAGCCCCAAACCCCTAAACCCGAAATCCTAAGCCCTGAACCCTCAAAGGGGAAAAGGAGGAACCCCTACCCTATAATGGGCTACATAATGGGTATATAATAGCTCTATTATGGGTATATACCTAGGGGTCCTTCTTAGGGGTCCCTCCTTATTACCCTTTGAAACCCGAAATCCAAAGCTCTGAACCCTAAGCCGAGGTCATAACTTGCTTTGCGCTCGACGATGAGCATCAGCTGCTGGGAGCTCCTGCTTGCTGGCAAGCAGCGGAGCTCTTAATCTTTACTCCAAGGGTAAAAGGAGGGACCCTTAATTAGGACCCCCTTAGGTATATACCCTTAATGTAGCCATTATATACCCATAATTATAGCCCCATTATAGGGTAGGGGTCCCTATTAAGGGTCCCTCCTTTTCTGTTTGGATTTACGGAACTCCATGTCCCCTCCTGTCTCTATGGGTTTGGGGCATATGTTGGCTTGGGGATGAGGGTTTAAGCTTTTACGGCTCGGAGCTGATAGGGGTTAGGGTTTATGCTTTAATTTGCTTTTGGGATCTGGGGCTTGGGTTTTCGGGCTTCTCACCCGAGGTCTTACTTGGCTGTCCTTGGGCTTTCAAGGTGAACCTCGCAGATACCGCCTTTGCCTCTTGCACCCATGAACCCTGAACCCCTAACCCCGAAAGCCCTAAACCCTACGTGCCCTAAGCCCTAGACCCCCAACCCCTAAACCGACTGCACATATAGGTGGTTGTCAAAATGCCCTAAATAATAGGTGCCGTAGTATAGTAGGGACCCAAAAAGGGACCCTAGTTTTGACAACCACCCATATGGCTTTTCGTACAATGGAAGACCCGGCGTTTTTCCGGACTAGGGTTTCAGGGTTGAGAGTGCTGGATACAAATAGGACATGGAGGTGCTTGCAATGTATCTGCGGCGGCTCATTGTCCAGAGACGGACGGATGAAAACACGCTGTCTTTAGGCTTAGCTTGAAGACGGCTTCAATGGTTACCGACCTGAAATCCTGAAACCCTGTACCGAATATAGGGGCCTGAACAAACTAGAATCGGGTTTTTGGGTATCTTCTACTATAGTCATCATAAGAAACCCCCACAACAGAATGGGTAATCATTTGGGCCCCTTTATTAAGTCGTTGGCGTCACCCTCGAAGGTATCGAAATTTGTTCCTCGCAGCTCTCTGACTGGGGTGACAAGGCAGCCTTGCGTACTAATTTCCTGCGGGAAGCTCACTGAAGTCATCCAAAGGAAGCAGCTTGAACATGGGTTGATATAGGAGTTACGTAGCTATATTAGCAAAATCTGGTGCGAAACAGATCCAGACTGGACGCGGAGCTGCTACCTCTTTCGACGAGCTTCTCCGCAGAGTCACTGCTACATCACTGATGGCATTGATGCCATACCAAGCCCAGGTATCTTTCGCGTCATCATTCTTTTGATCGAAACCTTTTCAAACAACCCTGGTTTGCGAACCCAACATTTCTCGAGATTTGTGTTCAGTCAAAGCACAGCACACTATCCATCGTATACTATATTGCCATTTTGTCTCCGCGTGCCCAAAGCCTACGCCTGCTTTGCAGGCGTCTTCGGCGGCGGATACTTCGCGTGCAGATATATACTCGTGGCTACCAGCGGAACTGCTACGATCGTTGACCAATGGAGAGACTCGCCTTGGCTACCGTGCATCAGGGGGTTTGACCGGGATCGTGGGCTAACAGGTGGAGTGTACTACAACGGAAACACAAGCACAACAACACACACGCACCTTCTCAGGCTCAGGCTAATGCTCACTCTCCCGTTCTTTCCTTCTTTCTGAAGTGCTGAAAGCACAGGCCACTACCCCTCCCCCCCCACATGCTACGCCCGCCCCAACTGCTGAAGTTTTCGGATAAGTCGGACAGGTTCCCACTCCATCCCACCAGCGTTCGCAGGTAAAACAAGATAAATATAGGGACGTATTATGTAATTCGAACAGGGTTCTCGGGTACATTGTCCTATACATATATGGTCAGCAACCTTATGGAACGGTGTAGGCCGGCCATTTCATCCCGAGCCGTCACAAACGCACCACTAGATAGACAGACAGACAGACACACACACACACTCTCTCTCTCACTCTCTCTCTCTCTCTCTCTCTCTCTCTCTCTCTCTCTCTCTCTCGCTCGCGCACACACACACACAGACACATCTAGAAACAATCTCTAGTGACTATACCCGAATTGCCAATCTACTTGCAGCATTAGCCCGCTCTTCTCATCTCCACAACCTCCCTCTCTCTGTCATGTATGGGCCTTAATAATGAGAATAGCGTTCTGGTGGATGTTAGAATTATTATAAGGACCCCCAAAACCCTATTCTAACTACTAAGGCCCTTACAGTATCTCTCCCTCTCTCTCTCGATAATGCTCTCGGGGCCTCTCCTCTCGCGCAATAGCAGGGAACTGGTATACAGTGTGTTTTTTTGAAGGACCCTTTTCCGTCGCGCTGGGATCCAGAAAGTGAGGAGTTCACTGGGCCTTTGGGGTATACAGTGGTTTAGGGCACCCTAAACCCTAAACCCCTAAACCCTAAACCCTTAGGGTTTGGGGAATAGTTTTTGGGTTTAGGGCTAGGGTATACGGCAGAGACATTCTTCGGAGCTACGGCTTCGAATAACTCTCGAGCTGAGTTATATGGGTGGTTGTAATGAGGGTCCCGTTTTGGGTACCCGAAATACTACGTGCCGTACTGTAATATAGGGACCCAATAAGGGACCCTAATTTTGATAACCACCCATATGACTTTCCAACATCCGAGTTGCCGTCCACCAACCACTTCAGCACACAGGACAGGATAAGTCCGACCATCACCGCAAATCCCTTCTTCACGCTGCCCGAGGTTTTGGCCTCAGGAGGAGCAGGCAGCAGGCTAATTCGGCAGCGGAGGCCTTCATATTGCAGGTCACTCATTATCAAACATCCTGTCTCTAAAGCCACTGCAACAATATGTTTATTGAGAAATGGTTGTCAACATTACGTACAGCCAGGATTCCTTCTCGAACTTCGATCTCAAAGCCGAAACACCCACCATGTATTCTACATCCTAAGAAATCTACGAGCTACGATCGGGCACCACCAAATGGCACAGGAGAAAGAGTTGGAAAGAGGTTCGGTGAAGTATGCTTGGCTGACTCCTGACAAGGTACCCATTCAGCTTCCTTGTTATAATTCAAAAAAAACCCCAAAAGTTAAAGTCTAAAAAGCCAACCAGAAGAATGCCAAGTTATGGACAGCTAAAGCATGGTTGCGGCTGTGGTGCAAGGGCTGTTTCTGACGGAGTAATGTAGAAACCTGATTGAGAAACCATGGGGCTTTATTAGGAAGGGGTCTGTAAGGGCTACTAGCAGGGATCTATAAGGGTACTATAATAACCTGATTAAGAAACCTTGGACCTATAACCCCAAAATAGTAGGATTCATAGAGGGAACCCTAATAAAGGCCCCGGATTTCTCTTAATCAGGTTCATACATTACACACCAGAAAAATCGACCTCCAACCGATCCAAAACCTATCACGTCTTTTTGCATCGCAGGCGCAATGAGGCCCACAACAATGCCGCCCCATCCCTGGGATATCCTGAGATGCATCGTCCACACTGGGGCTCGCTGATCCAAACCCTTCACCCACAGACCTAATTTGACTAATTAAAGCCCAAAGCCCCGGACCCTTAAAGACTAACCTTTTTCAGCATGGGCTTGGCAAAATTACAAACCTAATCCCTAAACCCTCCACCCTAAACGCCAAAACCCTAAGCCCGAACCCTAAACCTACGACTTGTCCCTAGCCTAAAATCTTCTGCCCGGCAGCACGGGTATGAAGGTCCGCGGAGTCCACCTCTGGAAGAGTCCTCAGGGTGACACCACTGTAGCCAGACTCATCAGGTTCGGATTACAGGTTGTGGGTTTAGTCCAAGGGTAAAAGGAGGGACCCCTGATAAGGACCCCTAGGTATATACCCTGTTTCTTGAAATTTGTTATTAATTATATACCGATTGTATAGCCCATTATAGGGTAGGGGTCCCCCATTGAGGGCCCCTCCTTTTCCCCCTTGATTTAGGGTTTATGCTCTCGCAACTCGGACAAGCCAGGAAAGGTTCCATAGGTGCGGGTCGGCGTGAAACTAGAACAGGTATAGCATAAGCCAGAAAGTTGGAACATCATTATCCAGATGCCTTGAGGGCAAAGTATAGGGGATCCTAGCAGTAATCATCCTAATCCCATGTTCCAACTTTCTGGCTATTGCTGTAGGCTGCCCAACAGTCCGTATAGGACTTGGGAGTTTCCGAAAACTAGGTTTGGGGGTCCTTATAATACGGATCCTACTATTCAGGGTACTAGATTAGGGTCCCCTACTTTCGGAAACTCCCGCTTCTGAAACCTAAGCCCTCGTCTGAAACTCGGCCCTTCCCTCCTTCCTAATGTAGGAACCTGATTAGGAAACCCTGGGCCTATAACCCCAAATTAGTAGGATTCATATACGGAACCCTAATCAAGGCCCAAGGTTTTTTAGGCAGGTTGCTAAACATAACATTATTATAGTACCATTATAGATCCCTCATAGTAACCCTTATAGACATCCTTAAAGGAACCCCAAACCCTAAACCCCCTGAAGCCTCAAACTAAACCCTAAACCCTCAACCCCAACACCTTCGTCTCCCGGAGAGGCATTCATCAGGTGGGTGATGACGATGATCACCTGAACAGAACGGTTTAGGGTTTAGGGCTCTCTGACCTTTCCAGAACTCGTTTTCTGGCTATACTATAGAACCTTAAACCCTAAATGGTATACTTTGCAGCATCGTCAAGCACCTTATGAAATCCGGTATAAGCCCCCACCCAAAAACAGAACCATGATAAAAACCCTTTGGTGCGGTGCATAATCAAGCTCCTGTCAGAATCATCTAGAACTCCTTCACGTTTAGGGTGCAGGGCTCAGCGGCTAGACCTTGCTCCAAGCTTGGGGATGTGCTCACATGCGCAAGGCTTCAAGACGGTTGAGGCTCCCGGACAGGAGGACGGGTTCCGGCAAGGGGCTCAACTCGCACGAAGCCGAGGGTCTGGGGCGTTGGGGGTTTGGAGATTTGGAGACTTTTCCTCCTGCCCAGCAACGACTTCGGTTCGAACACTGCGCCCAAATGTGGTCCGCAGAGCCCATCAAGTCAGAGTAGAAGGAGAGCGAATGTGCAGCAGTTGGCACATACGCGGAAAGCCACACTCCACATCACCAATGTGGTGAACGGCACGGTCAACAAAGCTGCTATGGCACCATGGCCACAGAAGAAGTCGAGGCAGCAACTCAGTTCGCCGGAGGCCGCCATCAGCCAAAGCCAGCAGCAGCCCAAGCGCCACGGAGTTGCCGAAGTCGAAGACCCGGAGGGAGTCGTAGAAGGTGTGTCCAGAAGCCGTAGCATCAAACACTTGAAACCCGAAGGAGCACAACGAAAACCCGCGAAAAGAAGCCGAAGCAGCCTAGCATCACCCGCCATCATCTCCATCAGCAGCAGCCGGCGGAGGCGGAGCCTCGCCAGGCCGGAGACCATGACGTCGAAGAGCATCATGAAGTTGTTTGCCGGCAGTGGCCGAAGCCTGGATTGCATTGAGTTCCCAGGCAGCTGCCTCTTCACGAAGTCGCCACCAAGCAGCACGACCATGACCTCCGCTGCGACGAACACGACATTCAGCGGCGGCACGGTCAGCTTGATCGTTCATCCATCTCATGAGGTCCGTGCTCAGCCCAAGAGGGGCTTCCCAGCTCGGTCGCTTCCCGTGCGAGGGCACCCAGGCATGGGTCAATTGCACGCCGAGGGCCTCAAGAGACCCGAGAGCTCGTCGAACCTGGTTGACGATGTGCAACAAATACGAGAAGTGGTCACCGTGTCTCAGCACGACTCGCAGCACGGCCTGACAGTCCACGACGAAGACGATCCTGCCAGTCCACCCAGTAGACCGCGCCGCATCGAGAGCAGGGCGTGTAGCCAAGTCGAGACCCAAGAGTTCTTGCTTGTAGGACGTTTGGTCCTCCTCGCCGTTTCCTATGGCACAGCGGTAACCACCAGGCTGAACCACGACAGCGACAGCCCCAATGTCCTGATGCTCCGACCCATCAGTGGCCAAATGGATGACAGCGGCCTCTCGCATGAGATTGCAAAGCTCCTGCACCAAATCCTCGTAGAGCTCGTCGGGATCCAACGCGGGCGGAGCAGGAGGCTGCTCGGGAACCCCATGAAGTAGAAGGCGCTCCTCACACCTGTCGCGGGGCATGCGGAGGCCAGCACGGAGATGAGCAGTGCACCTGCAAGCCCACAAAAGGTGAGCCCGTGATGGGTGTTTCAAGCCACACATGCAAAGCCATCTGGGGTGCCCTTCCCCAAAGTGATCGCCGGCATTATAATGCCAGCAGGTGACCAGCCCCAAGCACGGTGAGGTCAGTGTCACGCCGATTCATGGCAAGGGCCCTGTGGTGGCCTCCAAAGTGGTAATCAAGGGTCATGTCAGACCTGGGCAGACGCAAGCCAGTGGCGAGCTGCGGGTCGTCACGGTGCAGGCTGTGGTGGATCCTGCCCGTGCGTGCCACAGCAGCCTGACGGAAGTGTTGGCGGAGCCACTGGTGTCCAGGTCGCACGGTCCGCTGCCGGCCAGCACGATCGATGCGAGACAACGCAGAACCAGCAGGGTCCAAGTACCAGTGCAGCCGCTGCAAGAGGCCCGGAGCCTCAGGGATCATGGCCTCCCAGCTGAAAGTCGCGCGGTGAAGAGGGACCGTGTCCAGCCAGCGAGGGGCTTGCACGCACATTTTCCACAGGAGGCGTAGGGCCCCCAAGTCACAAGCAAAGTCAGGGTGGATCTCCCAACCCAGAGTCTCGTAGAGACAGACTCTGGCGAAACTAGTAGTAAAAGATTTGGAAAAGGCTTGTTCGATCTCATTACGCAAGGTGCTCATCTCCTCAGTGCTGGGACGAGCAAACCCAGCAGCCCATGCAAAAGGCGAGACCACCAGCGACAGCAGGAGCTGACGCCTGAAGTGTCGGTTATTGGTGGTCCAGCCGAGCAAACGTGCCCGAAGAATCGCAGCACGGATCTTGCAGCGGAGCAAAGTCCAGTCACCATCAAAACTAGCCCTAATCCCTAGGATCTCAAGAGTGTCCTCAAGCTTGAAGTGGAAATGGGCAGCAAGCCGCTCATGCTCCACGCCCCGAGTTCGAGGAATCAAGGCACACTTATCCAAGGAGAGTGTAAACCCAAAGGCACGGTCGTACGCAGTTGAACGTTCCAATGCACGCTGGAGGGCACTTAGGGGCCTATTAGGAGGAACCCAAAGGCTGCGGTCGTGCCCAGTTGACGGGTCGACCTGCCTAACCAGTGGTTTTGAGGTTCCCTTAGCTCTGTAGCTCCATCCCTGGCTCGTTAGCTCCTCCAATATCAATGGTTAGTATACCTCAAAAACCCAAACCCCCACCCTGTAATAGTGGTATAAAAGGAATGTAATAGGGCCCTAATATAATCCTTATAGTCACTATCAATGGTTAGCTGCAGTGACAGCACCACAGAATCGAGGCAAAGCCCTGAAAAAACCCTACGGCCCACAGTGCCCCGCACCCAAAACTGGGTTGTAGTTTTGGGGCCCTGAAAAGTATTTATTAGAAGCTGCCCCCACCCTGTAATAGTGACTATAAGGATTATATAGGATTATATTAGGGCCCTAATATACTCCTATTATGCCACTATTACAGGGTGGGGGCAGCTTCTAAAGTATTTATGAATAGGTCCCTCTATAGGAACCACAAGGGAAATCCAAAAGTTTCCCAAATTGCCGCCTAGAAAAGCCCGAGGGCAAGTCAACCCGATGCATGAGAGCGGTGGAGACCGGGACTTTGCTTTAGGGCAAAGGGGAAAAGGAGGGACCCTTATGGGGACCCCTACCCTATAATAGGCTACATAATAGGTATATAATGGCTATGTTATGGGTATATACCTAGGGGTCCTTATTAGGGGTCCCTCCTTTTTACCCTTTGATTTACGGCTTGGGGCCTGTTTTGTTTGTACTCCCCTCTTTCCGTCTGCAGAGTCTCTCAAAAGCTTAGTAGGGGTTCTCTAGGTTACGGAGATCAGGATGCTGTTTTTTGGAATTGGGGCTTGGCGACTGCCAGGAGACATGCACTGTACTACGGCACCGTGATAAAAAAGGACCCCCAAACAGGGACCCTGATTCAGAGAACTACCCACACCAGTGTGCGATTGCGACTTCTCGCAGTTGAAGCTCCAACACATCATATCACGCCAGAGCGGCGCATCCCAAGATGCCCATCTCTGAGCTGAACAGGTAACCTCAAACAACAGCCACTCGTGTCTTCAGATCACAGGTGGCGAAAAGGTCGGGTTAGGGTCTCTGGCTTGCAAGTTTTTGGGCTCGGGCATCTGTGCTTCGCCTGGGCTTACAACATCTCGATAAGTTGTTTTCCCATTGTCCCCAGCGAAATGAAGGTAAACCTTCAGAGTTGTACAGAACGAGAAGAACCCCAAAACAGCCTAAGGGCTGGCTATTGGAGAACTAAGATACAATGGATGCAGACTGTCTCTCCTAAGCAGACTTCTAAACCCGAAACCCTAAAACCAAGCTTGCTTCGTGATGCCTCGATTGAGATTTCGCTTGAGCAAGAGGCAGCAGAACGCGTAGCTCGCAGAAGCTTAATGTTGGATTCTATTTAATGATACGGGTGGCAATTAAAATATTCCCCGGGCCAGAATTTCCGGGCGCAAGAGGAGTTTAAAGGCGACGGCAGATTTGGCCCAACAACTTATTATAATTTTTCAATTGCAATAATAATAGGGGTGACAATTAAAAAAATCAGGGCACAGAAGCCAGAGTGCTGCGAATGCCAGAGGTTGAGACTTCACGTACTACTACTATTACTACTATTACTACTATTACTACTATTAATTACTACTAGTATACTAGCCCCGGACAAGGCCAGAGATTTACTATTGCCACCCTGACCCCAAAACCTGCCCCAAGAGACCCCCGCGCAAAACAACCTCAGGGGGGGGGTTATTAAAACGACACCAACATTACTTACCAGAGCAATGCGCAGGTTTAGAGGTTTCGGTGCAGTGGTGGGACTCACAGTCTTCTTGGCTGTATTCGTGGGCACGTGAAATTCAGACACTCCAGACGACGATTCTGCCCAAGGAAGGGGCCTGGAAGGGTCTTTGCCTTGTGTAGCTACGTACGACGTATGTGCTACAACAAACTCTTCGGGTTCATAAAGGGTTCCGAATTCTTTTTGGGCTGCATAGGCGGCCAGGCCAAGCTTGCCTCCAAGTCGGAGCATACCGCACGAAGATTTACGCTAAGCTCACGTCCATCTTCCCACAGACTCAGTATCCACAGTATACCTCAACCAACTATAATGGTCAAAAAGGAGAACAGTTGCTCCTTGGGAAGTCGAGTTTGAATCTTTGCATCCAGTATAACGCTGCACTCTGACTCTAACCTACTCAACCTTACCCAGAGGCCCCAAAGTAGTTCCTCTTTGGGATTACCCTATAGGCTAGGATTCTATGTACGAACCCAAAAAGAGGAACCACTTTGGGGCCTTTGGGTAAACCCCTCAAACCGACACCTCCTGGAGCACGGACCCTCTTAAACCTTCGGGATTACCTCAGCCCACTCCATACCTATTAGTCCGTACCTGCGACGTCCGAAAAACTAAAGCCTCTGAAACCTCGCCCCTACATCACGTCCTAAGCCGAATTTGGGCTAAGTTTACGGCTTTTTGCTGCGAAGTTTCGAGTTTAAGGTCCTTAACCCTCAACCCTAAGTCCTAAACCCTAAATGTAAAGGCAGTGCCGCGCGGCTGTCCCGCCGCTTCCGCTGCAGCGTCCACTCGACAATGGCACCACCGAGACCGCTCAGGGCGGACCCTAGAAGTATACCTTTGTCTTCGTCTTTCTCTTTGTGGTTGTCGTGGCTGCTGTTGTACTCGGTGGGCAAATGTAGGCTGTCGATGACTCGGGTCAAGGGAGTTTCTGCTTAGAGTCTGGGTAGAAGCTACGAAGACAACCAGGCTAGTGAGGGTTTAGGGGTTAAGGTGTGGGCTTGGTGTCTTCGAAAGATCCACTTGAACCTGTGTGAGACCTCCGACTAAAAATCAACCACGAAGCCAAACGAAGCCAATGTTTACTTCAGCCCTTAAGCTCTGCAACCTTCGACCTCCCACACTCTTGCTCACTGCGCTTGAATCTCCGAACAACCCAAAGCTTCCTACACCTTCTCTGGGCTTCTAACTAACCAGCGAGAAAAAGCATGAATGTTTATTTCAGAATGGTTCCTTTAAGATGCAAGTCTGAAGGTGTGGTACTCCAAAGCTCAGTTCTGGCAGGGCGAGGTGCAAAATGTGCCAATTGCGAGGCTCTCAGCGCTTCTTGAAGTCTTCGACACCTGCTTTGGAACTCTAAGCCATGAAACCGTTTATCATTTATTTTTTGAAAAGAAGATTGATTTTTCATTTTCAAATGCTGAGGTAGAAGCCAAAACAAGTTGGGACGATTGAGGTAGAAGCCAAAACAAGTTGGAACATGAATAGCCTCATGCCTTGAAGGCAAAGAATAGGGGATCCTAGCACCAACCCTCCTAAACCCGTGTTCCAACTTTCGCCATTTTTGGATTTCAGGGTTCTGGGAGCACTCTACAAGGTCTACCACAAGGCCTACAAGACGGGTTGCCAAGGCTTTAGGGCTTCAGGGTCTTGCGGTTCAGGTTAGGGTATTCGGGTGAGACAATGTGAGGTCTACACCTCTTGAGGTTCACCACGAGGGTATAGCGGCTTATATGAGGACTCATGACCAGCTGCGTAGTTCCTTCGTAAGGCGGGGACTGTTACTGCAGGGGGATGGGCCCAGCCAAGCTGTGGGGTTGAGAAGCCCAGATCACGTCCACATCCCACCCTGGCAATGCAGTAAAGATGCGTTGGTGTCGAAGAGCCGCGAAAGCAAAAAAACGGTACGCCAGGAAGTCGGAAAGCAAATAAGCCGCGAAACTCAATACACCGAGAAGCCACGAAAGCTGTTTAGGGTTGGATCGAGTGATGAGCAAGTCGTGATATAAAGTGCTTCTCAACAGAGGATCGCAGAATTTTCAAGCATGGGATGCCAAGAATCTTGGGGCTTTGGGGGTCCGGTCTAGCTTTGCAGCAACGCGAAGAACCTACACTGAACTTAGAACCCTAGCAACAATTATAGTTGATTTTAGCTGTTTCTTGGGGATTATAATAACCGACAATTAAACATTATTTCTAAGTACCCCTAAGAAGAACCCTAAACCGCACGCGCGGGCCTGAGATGCCTCAGAGAGGCTTACCAACATCCCTGCAGCCGCCAGCAAGACCAATGCCACGCATTGCACTGCCGACTGCCGTCGGCCGACTATAAGGTACCTTCAGCTCCCTAGTGCTTAGTAGGGAATGGGGGAGTGTGTTATGGGGACTCTTACTGGGGGATTATATAGTGGCTCCTCTAGGGATCCATTTCCCCCATTCCCTGCTGAGCACCAGAACAATCAACTCTTAGACTTAGTGGCGGCTGCTACCCCAACCCGAAAAAGGGTAAACGCTTTCAATTACCCTAAGGCTCTAAGGACTCATACATTACGGCTTTTGGGCCCAAAGACCATACCATATAAGGCTTTTGGGCTATTTTGAGCCTTGGGGTCATGGCAGGGTTATAGAAACCCCAACAACTTAAAGGTTGCCTAGTCAGCTACTAAGGAGAGCACTAGGGATCTGTAGGGGTTCCTTTAGAGTTTAAAGGGATCTATGGGGTTCCTTATGGTTCCTTTAAAGGAATCTATGGGGTTCCTTTAAAGAGAGCTTTTCGGTCTTTGGGGGTGCAGGGCTTTGGGGTTCAGGTTGAGGGTTGCAGCTTGCACCTGGCGGTAGAATCGGTAAAGATATATATATATATATATATGTATATGTGTATATATATATGTATATACATACATATATATATATATATATATACATCTATACATCTAATATATATATATATATATATATATATACATAATCTATATATATATATATGGGAAGTTCCAAAAATCGGGGACCCTATATAATATGGTGCCCTAAGTAATACGGTACCCCCCAATTTTCGGAAACTGCCATATTGAACACACAGCCTTGGACTTGTGGAATCTGTAGTCGAAAACGTCAAAATCCTTACTTGCGAGTGCCTTTTTCAAAAGACGACCTTCAGAAATGTGCCCGAGTGTGCTGAAACTCACTCTTCCCAGACCCTTCGGAAGGCCCAAGAAAAAGATCCCGTCATGGGGTACGGGTTACGGTCTCGCAATTCGGACATGCCTGGGGTACGGCTTAGGGTTTAGGGCTGAGGTCTATCAAGCAAGCCCTTAGTGGAAAAGGTTCCCAAATCCGGCTTTGATAAGGAAACCCCCAATAAAAAAAGGGCTCCAAAGCCGTTGAGGTGCACGAAGAGGGCGGTGAAGAGCATCTTTGTCTGGTTCAGGATGTTGAATGTGATCCCATCCAGTTTCTGATAGGCCACCTGTTCCGTCGCAGGAGTCCAAGGGTAAAAGGAGGGACCCTTAATAAGGACCCCTAGGTATATACCCTTAATATAGCCATTGCATACCCATTATATAGCCCATTAAAGGGTAGGGTCCCCATCAAGGCTCCCTACCCCAAAACCCCTAAACCCTAAACCCCTAAACCCTGTAGGGGTCCCCATTAAGGGTCCCTCCTCTTCCCTTTTGAACGAAGTCTCCAGACTAGGAGGATCCTATACTGAAGGGTACTTCTTGGAACGCCCGCACTATGGTGGCCTTAGTAATTCGAGCAGGGTCTTGGGGGCTTCCTGTAAAAGGGTTCCTTTAAGGGATACTCTAAGGGGTACTTTAGGGGTTTAGTATAGGGGTCTTGATAATTCGAACGGGGTTTGGGAGCCCAGTATACTCTAACTACAATAATGCGGCCCAAGATAGTATTGGTAATTATTTACCCTCTTCTTCAACAGGCGGCCCCAAAAAGTTCAAACTTTTGAAGATAGAGTTAATATATAAGGCAAAAAAGTTGGGCCAAAAAGTCTAAAGTTCACCGGTTCACTGTCTAAGTTTAGGCTCCTATGTTAAGCGATCTGATCCTGAGATCCTCCCAGTGTCTGGCAGAGCCGTCTTGATTGTTGGGATGGGGCTTCGGGCTTGAGGATACTTATACCTGGGATCCCAAAAGTATGTGGAATCATGGCCCTTTGTGGGTCTTAGGCCACTATTTTATCTACTTCCGGGGGTTCGTATACGAACTATTCGTAAAAAAAATACATATTCTCTATCCGTTGCGACGGCTTGCGACTGCTTGTGCCTAAGAGCATGAGAATTAGTGATGTTCTGACTTCCTTGCAATTACTTCAGGGATACTGCGCTATTTACAATAGATAGCATTTGTGAAGAAGACTCCCTGCAGAAGTTGACAAGTCCTTTCCATTCTCCCGACATAACCATGCCCACTTAGATTCTGACACAATGCAAACACTTACAACCTGGAGCCTAGAGCCCTAAACCTTGGGAACGGCCCCCACTCAGTAAGAGTTGAAAAATATTCATAATATAGATATATTTGGACCTTAGTAGTAGCCCTACTATAGACTCTTACTGTAAGGGGGCAGTACCTAACCTAAACCCTAAACCGATCCGAGGCTGGGGACAAGGGCATCCTCAACAATCGTGATTGACCGCCCCAGTCTTGTCTCTGCAACCCTTTTTTGAAGGAGGTCTCTCTGAAGTGCCTCCAGTATTTCAATTTCATCCATCTCCCGCCTGAACGCAGAGGTTCTGCACCAAGTAAGTCAAGGATGGGATCCCAGCCTGGCAGCGCTTAGGGCACTGGGTTTAGCGTTTCCCTGCATACGTGGCACCAAATGACACAAAAGAGCACTGAGATTCCAGCCGAAAGGAGGAAACCCTGGAAGGACCAATCTCGTAGCGCTTCGTCCATGCCTCAGAAGGGGTTTTTCACAACGGGTTTAGTGTTTGGCGTTCTTGGGTGCCAGGCTTCCGATCTCGCAACTGGGACAAGCCAGAAGATCAATGCATCGAGTACGGGGTCTCAGGCTTGCTCCTTGAGGGTTTCGACTCTGACGCTCGCACAAGGCAGGCATTGCTCCACGACGACCGGTTCAAACAAGGATGACAAGTACTTTCTCATGGTTTAGGGCTTTGGGGTTCAGTATGGTTCAGCGGGCACTTGTGTCAGGCTGTAACGCATGTGTACCGAAAAAATGTTGAAGATGATCTTGTGATTTCCCATCGACGGACATAGAAGGTCTTAAATCTTAAGAACCGTCGTGGGATTTGGCAAACTCCAATGCGAAGTTCTACAGTCCAGTGCATTGTCGGGCTTTGGCCTCTTGTCATTGACCGGGGGTGACTTAGGGCTTACGGTGCAAACACTAAGATGTGGGACATAAGGTCTTTGCAGGGATACCTCATGAACAAACATTACAAGCCCCATTTAAATCACCAGTCTTATTATCTATCATCAATGTTCCCACCTTTATCTATCTGCACGTTTGTATATACATATAAGATGTGTCGAAACTTCTCTGACACCTGAGGAAACACAAGTTCAAACTGTGAGGATAGTTCTCATCATATGAACCCGATAAACAAGCTCCGGTATTGGCGAAGTGAATGGATACAGAACACACCATAAAACCGTATACAACTCTATAGAAAGCCTAGGTAAAAGTCGACGCCGGAACGCTTCAACCGCTAAACCCTATAACTTATAACCCCAAAACCCTGAACCCTAAGCCTTAAACCCCTAAACTCCGAAGCCCTGAGAAGAACAACAAACAAAAACCTAAACCCTAAACCCTAAACCCTGAACCCTGAACCCTAAACCCTAAACCCTAAGCCCTAAAAGACGTCGAAGCCGAGACGCGACCCTCTGCTCTCAGCATCCCCATGCAGCCGAGCACCTTCTGGGCTCTTGTTAAGGAATTTGGGGTTTAGGGTTTGGGTTAGGGTTTAGGGGGTTAGGGGTTTAGGGTTTAGGGTTTAGGGGTTTAGGGTTTGAGTTTAGGGCTCTGTTTGTTAAGTCACCATAATGGGATATAAGTATGATATAAGGGTTGCTTTGAGGGATCTACAAGGGCTCCTTTATGGGTTTAGGGTTTAAGGTGCCAGCCTTGGCTACCTCCGCACCCAAAACCAAGGATGCGGCTGGTGTGCCCGGTGCCTGGGCTTTCGGGTTTCGGTTCTGCTGGGGCTTAGTACTGCTATGACTACTGGGTTATCTTGCACAGACATCAAAGCCTTGACCTTGAAGCGACAAAACTTGGAAGGGATTAGGCTGATTAGGCTTGTCAATAGCTGCAGGTTGCTGGCTCGGCGCCGTTCTCAGAATCTGTCGGGGGAATGTGTCGCTTCGGTTAGTAGTAGCAGTACTCCAAATACTAAACCCTATAGAGCCTGACCTAAACCCTAAACCGTATCCCTAAGCCTTCTTTGCTACTACCCCAAACCCCTAATCCTCAAAAACTGTAAACCCGAAGCAACCCTAAAACCCATCAAGGCATCAGCATCTCACGAGATTCGACGCAGCGCTGCAAAACACGGAGCAGCAGTCAGTATGGATGCACCGGTGCGTGTTAGATGTTCAACTGGATGCACAAATCAATCAAACAGCGAATACATGCGTAATAGATGTGCGTCTGTCTGTCTGTCTGTCTGTCTGCCTGCCTGTCTGTCTGTCTGTCTGCGTGCACATGCAAACACAACACCCCCTATGCTCGTATGCATCTACCTATCCATCTGTATCTAGCTTGCCTTCTATCTGCCCATCTGTATCCGTCTCTGTCCGTGTCTACTATCTGGGTGGTTGTCAAAATTATTGTCCTTTTTCGGGTGCCCTAAATATTAGGTGCTGTATTCTAATAAGGATCCCAAAAGGGACTCTAACATTGACAACCACCCCTGTGCTCATGCGAGTTCTCAAAAAACTCGCTGCTAACTCACACCCTCGAAGGAGCGGCACAAGCCGACAACCGCATGAACATCTGAACAGATGCTGTCGGCAAGCTACTTTGATTAGTATAGAGCTCCTTTCGAGGGGTGTATAAGGAATAGTATAAGGGATGTCATAAGGGTACTATAGGATATGGGCCTTAATAATTAGAGTATGAGGTTTCGGGGCCCATTGTACTCTAAGTATACTAAGGAACCCCCCCAAAAATAGTATTGGTAATAAATCAGGTCCCTATATTGCCGTGTTACAAGGAGACACAAGCATTCGGTGCAACATAGCCCTGCATTAAAGAAAAACATGCATCGGAACTGATTGCTTCGATAAGGCTGCTGCTGCCGATACTGGTGGCCCACGAGGCTACCGCATTCACATGCAGGGATGTTGTTACTAGAGAGTCCTGTGCTGATTCCGAAGAGAGATTATTGATATATGCACCGTGTGGTATCTTACCTATAGTCTCCAGTGTAGTTCCTTTGTTGGTCAACCAAAATCTATTCTAGGATCCCAGCCATAAAACTGTTTGACCAAACACAGGAACTACAATGGAGACTATAGGTAGGTGTAGGACCTTTAGGGACTGGAGGCTTCGCGCTGAGGTCTATAAACCCTGAGCCCTGAACCCTGGAAATGCAGCTGCGGTGCTACAAAGCGCTTAGACAGGAGCGGTTGCGCTCCAAACTGCCCAGCATGGATGGCCAAGTACCCCAGCCCGCCCTGCGCGGAGAGGAGGGCGCTGATTGCGGCCATTTTGGCTTCCGGTCCTTCTCAAGCCTCTTTGGGCGGGCCCGACCAGCTACAAGGTGGCTGGGGCCGGAAATCCTGCATCCGCGACACGGGTTCGACATCCCCGGGCCCTGGAACCTCCCTTCATATTGACACGAAGGACCTGGGCAATTAGAAGTAGACCATGCCGGAATAAGCTAGCCCTAAAACCTAAACCCTAAACCGCTAGGGGCAAGCTGCAAACAAGGGTCAGACATAGCACTTCTCGGCGAACTTTCTACTCGGAAGAACTCGCAACCCCAACTGCAAGATACTACTCTTCAGCTCTCAACCCTGAACCCGACTTCCAAAAAGCTGCTAGAGATAAAGAACCAGGTCCTCCCAAAGCCTAAGCCTGAAACCCTTAACATAGTGGCCTTAATAATTAGAAGAAGGTCTTGCACCCCATTCATTATACTACCATTATAATAATAAGCCCGCGAAATGGTACAGGTAGTTGTTGAAGCCCCTATATATTCTGCAAAACAAAACCCTAAGCCCCAACGCCATATATAGAACCCTTATAGATTCTGTTTTAGGGAACCCTTATGGATCCCTTTTAAGGAACCCTGAACCTCAGAGAGCCCTACATTAAGCCCTACACCCTAAGCCCAACCCCTTAACCCTGAACCTAAAGCCCTAAACCCCCTAAGCCTCGTACGCCCTAAACACCCCTAAACCCCACACCCTAAATTCCCACCCGGCCCCCTTGAAACCCTTAGAGAGCTCTCGACTCCTCTGAAGGCGAATGCCCAAGGGAACCAAGAGCCGCCCCCCCGGGCCGAGATCGCCACGGGACTGCGCCAGCCTAGTGCAGGGAGTGGAGCTCCGATGTTGCCGGGCGGGGGGTTTAGGGTTTAGGGTTTCCATGCTCACACTCGCACAAGGCAGGCAAGTCTCCACATAGTCCAGGGTTTAAGGGTTTTAGGGTTTAGGGTTTATGGTCTGCGGGGGGGAGGGGGGTGGTTCGGTTTCCTTGGTTGTGTTGTCTGCTGTTCTGAAACTTCCCAATGGTGCAATCAATCCAAAACCCCTTAAGTCTTGAGGTACATTGTAGTACATGAGTTCTTTACTCCGAGTTTAAGGGGCGTTTATTGATTACTCATTATTGCAGTTTCTGGGTACTCTGACCCCTATATAGTGCGCCCTGAACGCCAAACCGCTAAACCCTAAAGCCTAAATCCTCGAACCTAGAGACGTAACACCATTTTTGAGCCTGTCAAACACCCCCAGGGACGGACCTATTACGATCCCACACCAGACCCCCCCCAAATCCTAAACCCTAAACCCTGAAAAACCCTACACCCTGAACTTTAAACCCTAAACCCTAACCCTACCCCTAAGCCCTAAACCCCTGAATGAATCCCTAAGAGCACGGTGCCTCCTCAAAAAGATGGCCGCGAGACCCGGGAGTTGGTCCGCTTGGTTGCAGGTCCAAAGGTTGTGCCACTTGCCTCGAGCCGCTTTTTTTTGAATGGGGTGGGTTTAGGGTTTAGGGCATTAGAGGTTTTAGGGGTCTACGGTTTAGGGGTTTACGGTTTACCGTTTTAGGGTTCTTAGGGGGCTGAGTACCTAAGCCCCAAAAATTCAAGCTCTTCAGGGATGGTAGGATTCTTCTTTAAGCCCCAAAACGTTAACGGTTGCCTACTCAGCTATGAAGCGTTTCCTAAACTAGGAACCTGGCTAAGAAGCCTTGGGACTTTTTCAGGTTCTTTATATGAGTCCTCCTCCTTTGGAACTTAGAGGGCTAGGGTTTCTTAATCATGTTCCTGCAGTGGTCTGCGGGGTTGAGGGCCGTCCATAAGGTCTGTAGGTTCAAAAGTCCGGCTTGCTGCAAAATTTACAACAGGCTTTGGTTCACATCGGTTATAAACTGTGAAAAATTAGTTTTCAGAAAGTGCTAAGCGACAATATTCCAAACTACCCAGGCTGCTATAGTATCAACCCTGAAGCCCTCGTAAAGTCTTATAGAAGCTTCCCTAAGCCCACAAACCAATGCTGGCATCTATGGTAGCCGAAAGTGCTGGACATCAGTTCGAAGACCGCGCAGCCTTCGAGTCGTGCGGGTTCGGAACCCGGGTGTCAGGTGGGCCTTTTCAAAGCCCTGCATCCCATTTTTGAAAATCAGCAAGGGTGCCACTGAGCTCATCTGGGGAGTCTGCCGGAATGACCCTCAGCCGTAAGCCCTTAACCTTCCCCCCACCCCTCCAAGCAAAACAAGCCCTTGAACCCTAGCACAAGGGTGTGAAAGAATTCCTGTAAGGCCAAGCTGCGCATCAGCTGATCTAAGTCGCGAAAGATATTGAGCACCTTCCTGAAATTACAGTTTCCGGCGCTGCTATTTGGAGTTTAGGATTTAGGGTTCTTTTTCTGAGGGCTGGGGGGAAAACGCTGGAAAGCACATTCGGGGACCCTTAGCTTGTAATCTTAGCAAAGTTAAAATACCACAACCTAGTTTTTGCAGGCTCCTAGGTATATAGACTCGAGTATACGATCTATAGGAGCCTCATGAGAAGATGATCCGTTCGGTTGGTACTCAGGCTCTGGAATTCTTAAATCCTCGAACCTGAACTGTTGCTTTGGTTCGGGAGTGTTGGGGGTTTAAGTTTCGCAGCTGCATCACAGATAACCAATACGCCGTCGAAGCGTCTTGCTCCAAAAACATCTAGAACCACGATTTGAAACTTGAATGAAACCCTGCAAGAACTGAAGACCGAGCACACCGACAAAAGTCTAGTGAAGAAATGGTGACGTTGCCATGTTTCCTGTAGAAGCTCAGCAGGCAATATCCGCAGTAGTAGCTAGTAGAAGTAGAAGTAGCAGTCGTCGTCGTATTAGTCGTCGTCGTAGTTGTAGTCGTGGTAGCAGGAGCAGTAGCTGTAGCAGTAGTACTACGGTTGATGAAATGAATCCTGCATTACCCATAATAAGGAATATATCATAATTCCCATATATTCCTTCTTATGGGTAATGCAGGATTTATATCATCAACCGTAGTAGAAGTGAGTAGTAATGCATCAGCCCCGACACTTGCAGCCGCTGACTTCCGAAGCCGTCCAGAGGCTGCCTTCTGCCATCCTTTGACGCACATGGCTCAGAGTGTTTTGACTATAGACGGTTTAGGGGTTACAAGGGGTTTAGGGGGTAGGGTTTAGGGTTGTGGAGTTTAGGATCTTTTTGTTTTAGTGAATCGTCAGCCTTACCATTACTTTCCCCAACCTTCCGAACAGGGTCCTTCGAGCCCTTTGCACAAGAACCCTGCACGTGAAGGGTTCGTGCTTAGGGGTTGGACTGAGAAGGGGCCACTCAAAAGACGTCTAAAGTCTAAACCCCAAATCCTAAACGTTGCGTTTCCCCTGCTCTGCTCATGCGCAAATTGCCGAGGATCATCTGGGAATCAAATCTGGCAAAAGGAGATAATCTCGGATTTTACACCCGAAATTCCCAACCCTCAGTGTGGGATTATGCTCTATAATGAAATTCCGGGGCAATGACACGGAGTCTCTCTTGGGTTGCCAAAGTCTAGCCGGGTCGGGCTGAGGGGCGATGCAGCATGCTATGACGCCCCTGCACAGCTCCGGCGAGGAGTGCAGATCCGTCATAATCACTTTGGAACTTATGCTTCAACAAAGCTTCATAGTAAAGGGCTCGGGGCACACGGCTGTCCTTTCTTAGAACCGGGTTTAAAGCCAGGGAAGGACTGCGACAACTGCCTGCTTGGCTTGCGGGATTTTGGGCCATGAGCCGGTCGGCACGATAAAGAAATAGTATGACCCAGTGCAAAGCCCCACGCGCTAATTGCAAAGAAGGCGACTTCTCTACCACTGCCTCCATGGCCATGCAGAAAACACCTGGTGCGGGCAGAGCTCGCTATTGCAAGGAGCCATGCTTGTTCGGTGCTTGTTCGGGGTGCGGCAGTGTCTTCTTGCGTAAGGATCATATACTAAATGCTTCTGCTGCTTTTAAGTCTCAGCGATATCTTTACCTTTACTAACGCCTTCAGGAAGGGAAGGCAGATCACCAACAAGTTCTGTACTACGGATTACGGGTTGCATAGCTTCGGGCTTCATGTGTCTGCATTGTCTCAAGTCCGATGTGTGGCTTTGACATGCCATGGCCCCGTACTTGTGGGACCATTGTTAGAAAAGGTTTTATGACCACTCAGTCGTGGCGATGATGAGTCCAGGCCACCCGATTACATCACAGAAACCTTCGGCAGCGTGAACCTGTGATAAACCGCTGTCTACAATTACAACCACAAACCTTAAACGCTCGACCCCGACAATGATTTCGGCCACGTTGCCATAGAGGTGCAAAGGCGAACCCCCAGCCGCCGGAACGAAGGGATTGCAAAACTCAGCTACGAACGACCTGAGAGAACGAGGTTAAAGGTGTTTAGTCGTTCGGTGAAGAGTTTACGTAGTGGGGTTTCGGGTTTCGTAGTCTTGATGTCTGAATTGGCGTGTGGCTGAATTTGGTAGGGCTAGTTGCTGCATTCACATGTACCTGAAGAGAAAATGGTTGGGGTTCAAGGTGCTGCCACTAGGTCAATCCCGAACCCGACAAACCCAACAACCTCCAGCTGTTGAGCAATCCAGAACCACTAAGTTCCTAAGAAATCCGCCAATTTCCTTGCTGTTCACACTTTTCGAAAATATTGACAGCTTAACAATGATGTTTATACACATGTCTACAGTCTAGACCCGGCTCGTCACACAGTCACTGCCCCCAAAACGCAGCAGCTTTCTGTGGCTTAGGTGGAGTTGAATCAGTGCAGCGTTCTTGTTGTCGCCTGCCTATCTGACGAAGCCACATTGGACTGTCCAAACTAAGTACCATCAACGGCGACAGGCAATAGAAAGGTTTGAGCGACAAAAGCCTTTGCACAAGCCTGCAGTTCCTTGAAGTCCCTACCACGAATCTTGACAGACAGCAAGACCCACACACATCCTGCTTAAGACTAAGAGGCCACGTGACATCAATGT